TTTCTTTAAAATAGAAGATATTCATCATTATTGTTGTTGGGTATTGATTTCATATTTTAATGGAGCCTCTCGATATCAACATCTAGACAACAGTAGTCTTATAGTAATAAGGAGATGAATGGGCTTAAAAACATAAAACAAGTCTGACTGACTGATTGAACTCAACACGCTAAGGTGTGTTATATGATTAGTAAATATATATAAAAACAAGATACATGTAGAAACCTAGACTCTAGATTCTGTCCCGTCAAAATAAAGGTATGCTGCGCATAGCATGTCATTTACACACACAATGGAAAGCAATTTATACTTTAATTAAAATGACACACACACACACACACACACACACGAATAAGAATATTTTTTTAAAATCAAGTATCTCGGTCTTTCTTCTGGGGTGTTGTTACAGTGTACCCCTTTTTGCCCGGGTTGGCCTTGGCAGGTAGCGCCGGAGCCAGCCTCTTATAAATGTTAATGATCTAAATTGTGTCGCTGGGGGCATAAAAACACTTTTATTCATATTTTAAAAAAAAAGAAAAACAACACCTGTGAAAACTTCTGTCCACTGCAGCATCATATCGGTTCTTACACTTAAACACAACACAGGTGGAAGGCATTTTAACTAATTGACTTGCCTTATCTCGGAATAAAACCTTCTTTCTTATCTAGATTTCAGTGCGTGAGCGCAGCGCAGGTAGACCACAGTTCATCAGGCGTGCGGTGCCGCCCACAGAGCATCCTCCATTACTGTAAACTCATTGTTATTAGCCGATGCTTGCTGTCAAAAACGTAAATGTGTGTGTGTGTGTGTGTGTGTGTGTGTTTATCATGTGTGCATGGGAGAGAGCGAGAGCGAGATAACAGAACAAGTTTATTCGACAATATTCGCAGCAAAGTATTTTTTTATTCACCGACATAATACATGTACATGTATTAAATATATTAGGCTAGGCCTACGAATTTCCTTCCATGCTCACCGATGCATTCAAATCTATACGGGGTGCACATTGCGGATGGGGCCGGGTTGCGTTTATTTTTTAGGCAACAAGTTGGGCACAATCATCAGCTTGTGCCACGAAAGTCGCTTTGCGCCCTCAATCAAACCACCCAGCCACCCCGACCTGATCTGATCTCCCAATGAGCACCCCCTATTTTGGCCAAGCAACCAAAAAAAAAAAATCCGATTAATTAATTTTACAAAGTTGGGGACTATTTCCTTTCTTTGTCATACAGGTTTGGCCAAACATTTAATTAAGAACCTAGGAAAAAATAGGAACACACATATCCCTATAATTAGATTAAATGGTAAATGTGTTTTTACTGTATCAAAACATTGGTTTCTTTGTCCCTAACCGACGCATAAACGTTCACAGCGGGCGGAATTGTTTAATTGCTAATATTGGCGGATAGCCATCAACATTCTATTTCCTCCAAATCCAAGCGTCTTTTTCTTTCTAGGCCTACTTCCTTCCAGTGCTTTCGCGAACCATCGGGAAACGGAAGCTGGGCATCCGAATGTTTTAGTGTATCTACTACTTCCTAAAATAGTCCTCAAACATATTAGCAAGATTTTGAAAGGTTAGGGTGTTTTTACATTCTAAAACTCACTGCAAATTTGATGTGCTATATTTTTATACAAATTGAGCATTTGATATTGCATATTGTAAAGTGAATTAAAATTTATCATATACATTTGCGCATTAATATTTTACTTTCTGATTCGTAGTTAACGACGCTTCTTCCTGTATCTGTCTTTTTAAGTACCCTGAAGCCACGAGGGTGCACACGCTCTCCGCAGCAGAGAATACTCACACTACCGTTACCACTGTAAGTAAATGACTTTGAATGCGAATGGCTTTTTTTTTAGATAAACTGTTTCAGTTCTCGGCCAGTTCTCATTGGTTTATATTAGATCTAGACTCTATGTTGAGTAAATGATTCTGTTTCACTTGATTTTCGTGTTTACCACTGCAAGTCAGCATCTTGTCTATGCTGGCCATTAGAATAGCACAAAGACAAGTGGGAGACGATGTCCCAAGCTCAGACATGATCCCTAAGCTTCAAACCTTAGCTCTAGTTTCTTCTTGGCTTGGATTCTGAAATCTAATCTAGATCTAGATATCTAGACTCTAGATCTAGATCTAGAAGATCTAGAAATCTAGATCTAGAAAATCTAGATATTTAGAGATCTCTAGACGAGCGACCTCTAGATCTAGATCTATGAGACTGAGCAGAATTTAGGGGTAGGGTTAGGCCTCTTCTTTGTTTGATAGGATGGTCGCTCGTTACGGAAGTTCATCCAACAAGAGGGGCCACTCCTCTCTTTGAGCCAATTAAAAAAGTGTCCTCAAAATTCGATGGCGCCCTCTTCGCAAATGAGCACCCGGCACTACTACTAGATTTTACTTGGATATGGTGGTCCCGACTTTGGTGTTTTTTCGGTAGTTCCCACCCCCCTTATTTGAGCCTGACCTACATCTAGATATATATATCTAGATCTAGATCTATACGTTTGATTCGCGGTGAGCTAAGATATCAAACCTAACAACTGCAAAACATTAAATTATGGTAAAATTCAGGGGGGCATGCCCCCCTGAAACCCCGCTTCCTATTTTTATTAGGTCAGGGGGGCAAGCCCCCCAGAAACCCCCCTACCCTTGTGGCCCAAACCCGTGAATAAAATTGCGGGGTGGGAACTAGAGTCTACCGAAAAAGCGCCCCGACTTTTGTGACAGGGAAATATAACCTGATCTAGATCTAGAGAAAATCTAGAATGATTACTTCTACTTTTGGTTCTAAGGCTAGAGTGGTGTCGCCGGTACGCGTGCACTTCGCGATCGTTGAACGTATTTTCCGCCATTTCCGGCTTTGTACTTTCGTTTTTAGCTATTCCATTCAAGAAACTATTGACCTATAAAATGGTCTTGCTCATAGTCGCCAGATTTCTTAAACGTTGTGTGCCGAACAGTTTTTCCAACCTAGGGTGTTGTCTTCACTGAGCGTGCATTTCTTCTCAGTGCGTGCATGGGATTCTTCACTGTGCGTGCACCCATATATACACGTTGAAAGCCAAAAGAAGAGGAATCTGATAACATTATTGCATTAAATGACCACACAGGAAGATAACAAGTCACTTTAGAAGCAAAGTAAGGCAATTTTAATTAGAATCTAAACTAATTTAATTTAGGGGGTATAAATAGTTCAAATACATAGTGAAAAAAAATCAAACAGAATTTTTCACAACTAAAATCCACATTTTCCTACTCTTCATCACTCATTCCTCTGATCTTTCCATCTTTCACACAGTCCACATGCCACCGTCCATGACATTCTTCAAACTGCAACCAAATAATCTCTAAAATTGAGTCTACTTTTTTTCTTAGTATTCTACTATATATTTCATTGTGCACGCGCAGAGAAAACTCGAGTTTTTTCAGTCTTCACAACGCGTGCACCCCCCCGATCCCGAAACCCGCAATACAACTTGGCATAGAACTCGATAAAAGGTCACGTGAAACACTCAAGGAAGGAGTAGGCACATTTTTTAAGCTAGGGGGCGCGCACAGTCTATTTGAACCAATCAGAGGCAAATAGGTCATAAAAACTAGTTCACAGGTCAGCATTGAATGTCAACTTGCCACAGCTGATAAAAACACTCTCGATGGTCCCTTGTCGGCAAACGAGTGATGGAAGTAAACAAAAATGGCTGCTGCACACACTGACGCATTCAATCAAACGCAAAAACGCAATTTGAGGCTAAAAACAAAGGAAAACAAAAGTGCACGCACCGAGAAGGCGCACGCGCAGGGGCTACACCACTCTAGATCTAGATTCTAGATCTAACTCTTAACGATTACTTTTTGATTTGCGTGCTGGAGAGATAGATTCTAGCCTTTCAAATCTAATTGCAAAAAACATCAAATCATGGTCAAATTCAGAGATGCCCCCCTAAAACACCCCATGTTTTGTTCTTTTTTAGGTCAGGGGGGCAACCCCCGTTGCTTTGTGAAAAACAAGTGAAATTTTACTGCTCATTTTGTAGGCTAGATTTAGAATCTAGGCTACTGATAAAACATTGATACCGACAATTTGAATCAGTATCGATATTTCAGTTGCCTACACTACACAAAAGTCGGGACCACCATATCCAAGTAGTGCCTGAGCACCCTTTGCGAAAAGTTACCCTACCTGAGTTTTAAAAAATCCAGATAGGGCCTATTTGCTAAGAAAGTGGCTATTCTCACCTGCCCGGAAGTTCTCGCAAGATCTACTCCTCCCCTCTTCTCTCTCTCTCCGTCTCTTTCTGAATACTGTCTATCGGTGTGGACGATCAAATTGACCAAAACAAAGTTTAAAAATGATGTTAAAACACAAAAGTAAATTAATTTGGTTGTCCTCAAAGATGCTACGGCTATTTAACTTTTCGAATCGAGCCGAACTACGCGGGTCGCCATTTTGTTCTCGCGCTACTCCTCTCTCTCTCTCCACTGCCCACAGACAAAATTGTACGCTTTTAGTAGGCTACAGTTGTAATGGAACGTTTGTTCACGGCACAGAATTCTACAATTTTTCTGTTATCACAGTGTAGAATTCTGTGGTTTAGGGTGAACGCAAAATTTGTTGGCCTAGATCTAGGCTATAACGGTGAACGCGCACCGGGTGAGAATAGCCAAAAGACTCGCCTGCACTCTTCTCACCCCGGGTGAGAATAGAGGTGGCCATTTGCTAAATACGAGTGACGAGTGACCACTATGAGACAGCAGAATTGAGGGGTAGGAGTAGATCTAGGATTAGGGTTTAGGTTAGGTTAAGGTTATTTTTCTAGGCCTCTTCTTTGAAAGTGGCTATTCTCACCCGCCCGGAAGTTCTCGCAAGATCAACTTCTCTCTCTCTCTGTCTCTTTCTGAATACTGTCTGTCGGTGTGGACGATCAAATTGACCAAAATAATGTTAAAAAATTAATTTGGTTGTCTTCAAAGATGCTACGGCTAACTTTTCGAATCGAGCCGAACTACGCGGGTCGCCATTTTGTTTTGCCCGGAAATTCTCGCGCTACTCCTCTCTCTCTTTCTCTCTCTCTCTCTCCACTGCCCACAGACAAAATTGTACACTTTTAGTAGGCTACAGTTGTAATGGAACGTTTGTTCACGGCACAGAATTCTACAATTTTTCTGTTATCACAGTGTAGAATTCTGTGGTTTAGGGTAAACGCAAAATTTGGTGAACGCGCACCGGGTGAGAATAGCCACAAGACTCGCCTGCACTATTCTCACTCCGGGTGAGAATAGAGGTGGCCCTCTTCTTTATTGTATTTGATGGGGTGGTCGCTCATTACGGAAATCCTTCCGATGTTTTATCAGAAGGTCTAGCCTACAAAATGAGCTGTAAAATTTCACTTGTATATATGGCAACGGCGGTTGAATTTGACCATAATTTGATGTTTAAGTTAACAATTAGGTTTGATTGGCTGTCTCTCCATAGGGGCCTATCGGCACGCGCATCAAAAGTAATTGTTTAGAACCTGAAGTAATCGTTGGTAGGGTCAAAACGAGTATCTCTAAACGGGACCGCAATTGTACAGGAGCTCCCCAAATCGGCGACACAAAGAACAGGGGTGCAACACATGCCGTTAAACGTAGAAGACGCATCTTTCTGATTGGCTGCTAATTTAGCAATGCCAATCGGGCTTTCCCGCGCGGCGAAAATCTGGTCCCCGTTTACGGGCGATTTTGCGGACCCGGCCGAAACGTAGGTGACTAACTTTGTCAACCTCGGTCTGCTCTATTTCCTAACCAATCCTAATGAAACTCGGCAACCAATCAGAAAATAGGGCAAACTAATATGTGGACGTTGAAGTTCGTACACATAAATTAACCTATACTTTTGGTGTCGGGAACACTTTCGTATCGTGTACACCGAAAACTATAAGGAGTTTGAATTTCAACGCTGAGATGGTAATAGATCTATCTATCCTCTATAGTGTGCTCAAATTTGAACGTTCTGTGTCAAGTAGTTGTTTAGACCCGATCATAAATACACGACTACCCCCCTATCCAAAGCGGCTTCGCACGGAGACCGGGCATTTTCCCCTCACTCTCGTGGCAAATGTATGTGACCTACAAATCCCCGCATGACTATTTCGGGCCCGTTCATTGGTCACTTGAAATAGGGCAATGGCGGGCGGGCGCATCCGGTTGTTTTTCTCTCTATTCCCCCTGTAACATCGCAATGGGGGTATTCCAAGGAGAGGTTATCTCGTCTGGAGTGTTCACGTCTCAGCGGGGAAAAATAATTTTTTGTTCTACGGCATGCTAGATCTAGATTGAATTAACTTATCTTTTACGGTTGGCATGGTCTAAAGAAAGTCATCATAAAAAGCTTTGCAATTATTTAGTCACGCTGCCGACATATATTCTTAAAGATCCCATGTTGTGATACGATGCTATAAATAAAATGGACTCATCCCGACACCCCTTTTTCGCAAAATCGTAATATGTACACCAAAATTTTAATTATAACAAAATAACTACGAAATTGGTAGTAAATCTGACTGCAGAAATGATTTCTACACTCAAAAACACATCGGGTAGCCAAGTTTCTCTCGAACACTCCGATTAGTTACCGAGATATCGTCTATTTTCTTACAGAATCTGCTACTGCGTGGTCCACGTTTTAGGAGTATTTTCCTATATGTGGGTCATCCATATTTTGCCTACCTTTACAACCCCATAACTTTTATTTATGAACCGATTCTTAAAATTCAAGAAGCTTAATTCTTAGGATTGAAAATTCTTTCTTAGGTACCAAAAAAAGGGGGCTAAAGTGAAAATTTAAATTTTCATTGGCATTGCTAGATCTAGCTAATTTTAGTAATGTGATGTCATCACTTCCTGGGATACCCACAGACTCCGTGGAGGTACCGCATGGAATGTTTTCGGTAACATTTCGGATTTCCTAGATCTAGATTTCTAGCTCTAGATTCTAGATGATACAAGATCACTCAGATCTAGATCGTTGATGCTCAGAACAGTTGTAAGATAAAGAACGCTGATGCTTGAAATTGAAACACGGTAAACGCAAAGACAATATCATCAATGTATGTAAGGAAGTTAGTTCGCCTGGTTTCAGTGTTGCAATTAGTGAGAAAAAGGCCGTCTAAGTTTGGTAACTCCAATAGCTAAAGTCAAACTATTTTTTAAGTTTTGGTGGCCATGTTAAAAGTTGTAATAAACAAGCAGCTTCTGTGAAATGTCAGCCTGAAGACTGGTAGATCGAAGCAAACAAAACAGAACACTTTATAGAGGTTGCTTCTGTGAATGCTGCACACCATGTTTATCAAAGTTTAACCTATTGGGACTCTTCGTGGTCTAGAGGTATGGTGTCTGCCTCTCATTCAATAGGTCCTGGGTCTGAATTTTTACGAAGACGAAAAATTTTCTTTCTGAAGTAGAAAATTTTCCTTTCACCTTTCATGATCTCTTATGTTCTTGTCGTCTCCTTCCTGCCACCCCTCCTCTGGGCTCCTGGCTGCCATCTTTCAGCCACACCCGAAAAAGCTTCAGCTCAGCCTTGTGCGTGTGTAGAGGGATTTCTATTTTCAATTTTTTCATTTGCTGTACAATATGCTGATTCCTTTTATAAGCATTTTGTATTATTTTCTTTTACAGATGCCTGAAATTCAGACCGCCGATGAGATGGAAGCGGAGAAGGAGACCTTCGCCTTCCAGGCTGAAATTGCTCAGCTGATGAGTTTGATCATCAACACATTCTACAGTAACAAGGAAATCTTCCTGAGAGAGTTGATCTCTAATGCTTCTGATGCCTTAGATAAAATCCGATATGAGTCACTCACAGATCCCAGCAGACTGGACTCTGGAAAAGATCTCCACATTAGAATTGTTCCAGACAGGGACAACAAGACTCTGACCATTGAGGACTCTGGAATTGGCATGACCAAGGCAGATTTGGTGAACAACCTGGGTACCATTGCCAAGTCAGGAACCAAGGCTTTCATGGAGGCCTTGCAAGCTGGTGCTGACATTTCTATGATTGGGCAATTTGGTGTAGGTTTCTATTCTGCGTATCTGGTGGCAGACCGTGTTGTTGTCGAGTCCAAGAACAACGATGATGAGCAGTACACGTGGGAGTCTTCAGCTGGGGGTTCCTTTACAGTGGCCACTGGAGTTGGCTCTCCTCTGGCCCGTGGCACAAGAATCACTCTGCACTTCAAAGAGGATCAGATTGAATATCTAGAAGAGAAGAGGATCAAGGATGTGATCAAGAAACACAGCCAGTTCATTGGCTATCCCATCAAACTGTTGGTTGAGAAGGAGCGTGACAAGGAAGTGTCTGATGATGAAGAGGAAGAAGAGAAGAAGGAAGATGACAAGGAGGAGAACAAAGATGAGGACAAGCCCAAAGTGGAGGATTTGGATGAAAACGATGATGAAGATGCTGACAAAGACAAAAAGAAAAAGAAAACAATCAAAGAGAAGTATAATGAGGAGGAAGAGTTGAACAAAACCAAACCCCTGTGGACAAGAAATGCAGATGACATTACACAAGAGGAGTATGCAGAGTTTTACAAATCTCTTACCAATGACTGGGAAGATCACCTGGCTGTGAAACATTTTTCTGTGGAAGGACAGCTGGAATTTAGAGCTCTTCTCTTCATCCCAAAAAGGGCCCCTTTTGACATGTTTGAGAACAAGAAAAAGAAGAACAATATCAAATTGTATGTGAGAAGAGTGTTCATCATGGACAACTGTGAAGATCTCATCCCAGAGTATTTGAACTTTGTCAAGGGTGTCGTGGACTCTGAAGATCTCCCTCTGAATATTTCAAGAGAAATGTTGCAACAAAGCAAAATTCTGAAGGTCATTCGTAAGAACCTTGTCAAAAAGTGTGTTGAACTCATTGAAGACCTCGCAGAAGACAAAGAGAATTACAAGAAGTTCTATGAACAGTTCGGCAAAAATCTGAAGGTAAGTTCAAAGAATCCAGTGGTAAGGGTTGTCTTGTAATGTCTGTTGTAGACTTATTTTAACTCACTGGAGACTGGGCCTTTTTCAGGTCAACATACGCTGAAGACTGACGTTATAGATCTAAACATGCCCAATATGACACCAAAAAACAGCAATATCTTTTATAGTTTTTTAGAAATGAATTTTTGAAAATGTGCTAGCATTTGTTTGGTGTAATATCTTGTGTTTAAAAAAACACCGCAACAAAACCCAACAAAAATTAATCTTGTGTGTGTCTTTTATTGTTTTATATTTCTAAATGAATATGCAGGCAATCGATATATATGGTAATCCTTAAATATTTATTAGCTGTCTAGTCCACTTCTTTTTTTTTTTTGGTTACTCTCTTGTAACACCTAGTCTTCGACCTTATTGTGTTGTAAGTGCCGTAAAACTTACTAAACTAAATGTGCTGCCAACGTACTGACAGTGTTTCATGAACAGACTCCAGTCAGAGAAATGAAAGTAGGGCCTCTGTGTGATTAACTTTCCTTTTGGGTCGATAACTCAAAAAGTTTCCAGCCATTTCCGGTAAAACTTCGCACAAAACAAAACAAAGATCGGCTGCGCGGTAAAAGACAGTTCATGCAGCGTTTTCATGCATACTTTGCCGAGGAGAAAATGTGAAACTTGTGCTCTCAGGGTGTGCATGAAACACCTCTTGAAGAAAATATTGGTGCTTACAAATGCTGCGTTAAACTAAGATCAGAAACATGAAAGCCGAAGTTTACCTTGCCATACATCTTTTGCAGATCATTTGGCAGTTATTTGAATGTGTATGTCAATGGTTTGTTAATCCCTAAATGTCTGAGATCTCCTGAGGTCCCTTGCTGTTACGCCATGTTCCCCTTAGATCTAGGTCCTGCTTTTCCTCTGAGGGGGATATTTTTTCCACCCCTTTGCATTACTATCAATTATCTCATAAGGTGGGGGGGGGGGTGGCTGGACCTGTATTTTTTTTCTCTGGTTCACAATTTGAAGAGGAACCTTTTTTATGTATATAGAACTAATCACATTAACGCTTCTGGTTTCCAGCTGGGCATCCATGAAGACAGTACAAACAGGAAGAAGCTGGCAGACTTTTTGAGATACTATTCATCACAGTCTGGAGATGAGATGACATCTTTGAAAGATTATGTTTCACGGATGAAGGAGAATCAAAAAGACATCTACTACATCACAGGTATGGGACCATTTTAAACTGTCTTTTATTTATGTTTAGGCAGCCTTTCACACAAGGTTGTTATTGTAAGCTTTGTCGAGCTTTGAGCTTTCCATTTAAGTAGGACAGATTATCACTTGTTTGCGGAGAACACTCAATTCAATTACACAAAAGTAAGTTTGGGGTCATGTTTCTACATTGCCAAACCAGGGGTATTATTGCCGCGCAATGTAGGCCATAATCTGATTTCACTGATAAACTGAAAAATTACGGCGTTATTTTGATTGCAAACTTTCTATGCACCATCATTTCAATCATTTGTTTAGAGCTTGTTCACTTTCGTCTCACCGCGATTAAAACAAGATATAAGGTAAAGTGCCCAAGTACAACCACTTGTTTAAATGGTTGCTAAAAAAACATGAGGTGAAAGGTTAAAACATAGTACGTCACCAGCCTGACGTGACTCCCTGTGGCACCGCTAGTGGGCTGAGACAATGGGCCTAACCTCGCATTGAGTTTGTCCGTTCAGTGAATACAATTGACCTGAGGTTTGATATCTGCTCGCTCTGGAGGTTTTTAAAAAATGGAGCGGACCCAAAATATGAACTGTGTCTGAGTCTGCAAGTAACAAAATCGTCCACTCACCCCAACACTAGGACTTGAACTACAGCACACAATTCAAACAATTCAAATGTGACATTATTTTTCTCAACACCACCCATTACTGTTTGCAAAAGCAACACGCATAGAGACGTCTAAGACAGCTGGGGGGATGGGTCACTCTCAAAATGAGCAATTTGTAAGCAGGGTTACTGCAAGTCAATTTATTTTAGTGATCCTGTGTATATCATGGCGTCACTTTTTGCTTGATTCTGTTACCTTTAGTTAGCATGACTCTGCAGTCCGCTGGAACTCCCCGGCTCTGAGTCACGGGGTTAATGAGCCCTTAAGCAACTTTGCTGGTGTTGGTTGTGAAGTTCCTATTTTCGTCTGTTTCAAACTATACTTCTTCCCCTTTCCACACAGCAAACCATTACGCGGGTTTACTAAAAGTTCAATGTCTTGAGATTTATTCTGCGTTTGGAAGGCTAATTTCTGTGCCTTAGTTTTTGTTCTAGACAAGTGTTTGTAAAGTACCCAATTTGTCCAATTTTAGTTACATACTTGTGAATAAAAATGATTGTTTATTTTAAAATGGCGCAACAGATCCTCTCATAAATCTGTTAAACTTACTACGAATATCATGTCTTTTACCATGAGAAATCTTAAATCTGCTTGGGTTGTAATAGTTAAGTTATAAGAGAAGAAAGATCCAAATCTGCATTTTTAACTAAAGACACACCCAGCATTAGCCCTTGTTCTACCATTAAACAAAAGTTACTCTGCGCTTGTTCATGGATCATCATGCTGTGTCTGTGGCAGCCTGCTTACAACAAAGAATTTAATATATATTATGCGATTAAAAACCCCACCAAACTGTTAATACATGGGTAGAGATGCACTTCTTGTATGGGATAAAAATAATGACAGTTAACACATTCATTCTTAGTTTTTGTGTCGGACATATGCGCCGACACTTATTAATGTAAAGAAATCAGAACATTGTCACTCATTGCAAATGGTCATAGCAACGAAAATAAAAGCAAGAAAGGACTGGTGCTCATTCAGTGTCACTGGAAAACTAAAAAAATTGTTCTAACCCGATTATGAGAAGTCATCCCTGTTATTCAGTCAACTTACAAAACCTAGATTTAACATTTTAAGAAAAATAAGGAATTTTTTTAGTGTAACCGATACTGTTCGTGTATTGCATTGTAGATGTATTCTGGCACTAAAATCGGTTTGTACTTACAGCTTCCTATTATACCCGCAGATACCATCTTCTTTGAGTGTCTGCACCGGCAGTTTTTGTCGTGCTGGTTTTTTTTAAAAATATTGATAATTTTTTCATTCGCACTTGTCTAAAAAATTTTAGTTTAGCATTGCCAACTTCAGCGCAAATAACGAAATAACAAGACAAGTTACAATGTTCGTTCTTTTTTTAGTTTTTTTGCGTGGCGTGCAACACATACTTTATTGTTTGGCGCATCCTGATGGAATGTGTCAACTTTAATGATATACACGTACAAAATATTTTAAATGTACAGATGTCAAAACTCTTTATGACATTGATAACTCTAGCAAAAATTTTAAGTTATAATAAAGAAATGGGACTGTTAAATAGGGTATAAAAATTTCTAGTTGTCGCTGTCAGTGAAATTAATATT